TCCTTTAACTATCGCCTGCCGTCGACGTGTCACACAGAACGTGAATGTATGACCATTACCAGTGTCACAAGCAAAGAGGAGATAGGGCAACTTTGTATAGAACTAATGAAGAGATTAACACAACACAAATCGAGGCTAGAAATCTGAAATGTTGTAGGTACTTATGGGATATTTTGTCGTCGAAGTACACGTCATAGTGAGTAGAACCTAGCGAGATAGTGGCAAAACGTGAGACAGCCGATGAAATTTAAAAAAATATGGATATTTTCCGTTCTTGATTTTTGATATTTCCTAAAATGGAGGAGATATAAATTACGTCATGAAATAAACTAAACATGTTTTAAAATCAACCATTTTAAACTGTCAAACACCAAGCGCAACCTATTGTTCTATAATTGTGTCTATAATGACGGTACTCGACGAGTTAAAATTATTTGGAAACATGTGTCTGTAAACGTGTAAGTGTTATGTAGGTACTTAATCGATATGTACCTTTTTTAACACCTAACAAACTACACATACCTATGTAAGTACTTACTTCATGTCTTGCCAAATGAAGCAGAATCTATCTATAGATAAGTAATTTTGGCAGTCGAGACAAAGGCAGTGCAAGTAAACCACTATGTTGTAACGTTAAAGTTAACGTTATTTAAATCTTTCGGTTCAACAATTTGAAAAGGTTTTGGTGCAGTGACAGTCGGATCATCTTGCATCATAGGATTAGTTTAAAACTACTTTCTTTGTACATTGTGTCGCCGGGGACAGAGTGCCAGTACTGCCGGTGGTCTCTGGGATTGTACAACTACAGAGACAGAGCTTTGAAGTAGCAGACCGCCAACACTGCACGAGACTGCACTTACAAATTGAACGTTGTTTATACTGAGATAAGGTAACAACTTGCTTGTGGGTTAACCGAGTCTTGCTATAGACTAGCTAAACATGAGACGCAATAGTTAAGAGAATATTCCACTTCGGTGCCCACATAAATGGAGCCTATTGTTACTTGTCACTAGTCTAAAGATCTTGACAATGTATAATATTTCAAGTATTTTTATTTAAAATGCAATGTACGCTTGTATAAAGATGGCAAACGGTACTTATTTCGTAATTATTGCAAGTCAGGGTTCTTGGAAGGAGCCCCACGACGGAGATAACATGCAAATTGTATAATCTGCATTGTGTTACAGTTTCAAAGAATAACCCTTTCTGTCTGGCAGTCAGAAACAATGCGATGGTTTGCAAGTTTGCGAAATAAAACTTTCTTTAGAACAGTGAATATACCGTTACTTACCTATTTACACCGTGCTAGGGACCGAGCTGGCGGGCTTAACTAATATTTACAATGAAGTATTCTATAGTAATATTAATTTGGTGCAACAAACATTGCTAGCAAGTAAGATGTATCTACTTACATAATAGTATGTATGTTTGATGTAAAGTTTGCCAAATTGAAGAAACCCAGAGCGACGATGCCGCCACGATGAGCTAATATTGACGAGTTATTCTAATTTGTTTGAGAGTCGGCCAGTAGGACGGTCGCCTGCATAAAAACAACAAGAATCCTTTGACAGACAAACACTCACATTGTCCCCGGGCGACCGCGACACGCGCCATGTTGTTGCACAATTTCACGTGAGAATGTTGATATCTAGCTGCAGTGCTGGAGTAATCACGTAGCCAGAGTAGCACTTGCTATGGGCCCCGCGTAGCCAAGCTTATCTTCACTTCATCTTAGAGTACGTCTTTCTTATAGTGAAACGTTACAGCAGCACATGTCTTCTATAAGCTTCATTAAACCTAAAAAGTTTGGGAAAGATGACCACCATCCTTACTTCCATCATATAAACATAAAATCGAAGGCCCCTCCATTTTGCTACGGGCCCCGCGCTTGATTAATCCGCCACTGGTTAACTGGCACTATGGTAGTCATACAATTTAGCTTTAACCATCATCATCATCAGCCTGTATTCGTCCACTGCTGGACATAGGCCTCTCCTATGGCACGCCACTGAGCTCGGTCTTCAGCTCTTCTCATCCAACCACTGCCAGCCCTCCACCTTGCAGATGTCGTCACTCCACCTAGCTGGAGGGCACCCTACACTGCGTTTGCCCAGACGCGGTCTCCACTCTAGAACACGTTTACCCCAACGGTTATCGGTTCTTCGACAAATGTGACCGGCCCACTGCCACTTCAGCTTACTGATCCTTTGGGCTATGTCGATAACTTTGGTTCTCTGTCGGATCACTTCGACTTTAACCATGAAACCCTATAATTACATATTACGGTGAGAACAACAAAAATAATATACACATTATGTATACTTAATGGTTAGTAATGATATCAAAATGTACACTTGTAACTTTTAAGGACATTTCTGGCACTAACTCGTCGACTTTTTTATCTTTGTAACCGACTTAAAATAATCGATGTACTATATATTTCAAAGTATTGTACAGATAATTTTAATAACTACATAAATATTTACAACTTAAAATTAATTACAACTAAACTATTAAATAAAACGAAAGTAAAAAAGAATACAACAAAAATTATACCCTTAATTTAGGCGTCAAAGTATTCGTCCGCATCACTATCACAGGGGAACGTTCCCAGAAAATCGATGTAATATTGTGCGCGATTATCTCGCAATGGGTTAACTCGTCGAGTACCGGTTTTGTAGACACAATTATAGAACAATAGGTTGCGGTCACCGGTGACCGCTTGGTGTTTGACAGTTTAAAGTGGGTCCCGCTGATCCAGTACGGTTAGTGTAACATAATAAAATTATAATAATTATATAGGTAGGTAATTAATCAATGCCAATGGGTTAACTCGTCGAGTACCGGTTTTGTAGACACAATTATAGAACAATAGGTTGCGGTCACCGGTGACCGCTTGGTGTTTGACAGTTTAAAGTGGGTCCTACAAGGTCAAAGGTATATCAAACACCCCCCGGCCAGAGGATATCACTGATTTGAGAGCTTCTTTAGGAACAGTTAATGGACATCAATTTAAGCACTATGCTGGTACCGTTGTATATGTTGTTAGGGAAGGGGGTTCCTTGGAAATGGGACAGTGAGTGTGAGGAGACTTTTAATAAAATTAAAAAGGTTATGACCCTAACAAACTTTGCGGCGGAGAAGCACTATTCGCAAATCGAGCGGGAGCTATAGTGTTTTGCTTAGAAAAATTACACCCGTATTTTTATAAGGTCGACGTTTTAGACTACGCACGGACAAGTCATTAGTTATATCTAAAATACAAAAAAAAAAACACCAAGTAGCATACTAGATCTTAATGAAAGCAAATTTAAAACATATATTAAGCGCGAATTGTGTAAACAAGCTTACTACAGAGTGATTGATTATCTTGAGGATTTTTTTTTTTAGGGGGAAAAATCATCGAATGACTGCTCCCGCCTGGGTGAGGCGGGAGGGAGTGTCAGACTCTTACTGACTAAAACCACCCCGTTCCTTCTCCTGCGCGTCGAGCCGGAGCCCCGGTTACCCGTTAGGTTCTCCGCGACATTAACTTGAGGATAGGAATGCTTGGTAGTGTGTTGGGTCGGCTCCACTGGACAATACTCAAATGTAGTCAGTACCTAGTTCAGATTCCGATAATAGGTAATTTAATACTTTGATTCCGATGGAGGCAATCTATTCATTTCTTGCAGCATCGAGCACTTCTTTGAAGAGATTATTTTTTATTTTTTTTCTTTTAAAGAAGCACTATTTTATTATGGATTTTCAGTATACATATGTGAGGACCATGTCAGACTAAGATATTTGTTTTCTCTTGGTTTTGTTTTTTATTTTTGTACGTTCTGTTATTTATATGATGCGTCAGGTATGTCTTTACATTATTCTCACATGTGTGTACAATATTGGAATATGTATCAGAGCAGTGGTGTAAAATAGACTTTATTTTTTTTAAAAGAGTAACCAATGGAGTTGCTTACTTGTTCTTCTCCACTCGAATCGACATTTTGGAACGAGCCCCTAGCTTCACTGACGGACAGACTGACAGACTACTATTTATTTTATATTTGTTGACGTTTCAAAAGTATCTAATTATGGTTTAATTGAAATAAATGCTTTTGACTTTGAGTTTGAGTTTACTAAATTTGCAAAGCTTGCTTTGAACCATACCTTCGATGGCAGCAAGTTATCAGCTTATACTCACGACATTGAATATGTCACATTTAAAGAGAATGGCTCGGATGGCTTGTCGCGGTTGCCTGCTCTTTCCGCGGGTGAACAAACATTTCTGGAACAGTGATACCTTCATTTCGGTCAGAATGCAATGTTGTTAAACTATATCGCCGCGATCCATTATTAGGTCGGGTTTTAGGATATCTTCGCGACGAATGGCCGTCTTATAATGAAATGATATCACTCTAACCTTATTAATGAGTTATACGAGGAGTTAGGTTGTGTTATGTGGGGTTATGACCCCAACCCTATGGGGTTGTGATACCAGAGGTCTGTAGGAGTAAGGTTTTAGCCGATTTAAATGCTCACATATCATCGTATGTGCAATGCATAGAATATTTATGATATTTAGATAAGTTTCGTAGTAATATATTTTTTTTAATTTAACCGTTGCCCCACCCTAGGATTTTCTCCTGTGTCGTGGGTGCCACCGTACTAACCGTGGTATATTTATGTCAAATTATTAAGTATGAATTAATAATTGAGAAATGAGCAATCATTCATGGATCGGTTTTATTACGCAATTTCTTACATTTATTACTTACCTATTACAAAACATAAACCATTTCGAGCTCAGTCCGTTAGCGCAGCTACCTGCCTACACCCCTTCCACTGAGCGTGGTCAGTTAGGCCCCGCCCCTTTGAAACGACGCTCGGACGTCCGCCAGAACCGAGCGACAGTGATCATTCGTGATTTCTACGTCAAGCAGTCTACTACCAGATAAGTCCTCTGAGTAAAAATGAATTCTGTGTGGAAGCCGTACACGGAAGTGGAAGAACAGGCCATTGACCTATCGCGGCCTGCAGTGAAGGTGGACAGAGGGTCTCCATTACCGGCACAGAGTCCACCTGCGGTACTTGGACAGATGATGTACCCCATCATCGGATATCCAGAAGCAGCAGTCCATCCAAGGGCTGACTGCTTCAGTTACAAGCCTATCTATGACCCAGCATATTACGCATCGTCAACGGTTTCCCAGGTGACAGGTCGCTCTAACGACATGTCCTCAACTGGAGATGACGATACGGAATCTTTATCAGACGATAAAGAGTACCAAATTTTTGAGCAGGATGCCCTGAGAGCGATGGCCGCCAAAAATGGCGGCTCACTGATGTGTACCAACCCTCGAATGAGAAGGGCTGTACAGAGCAGCCACTCGGCTGATGATATTTATATGAAACAAAGAGAAAAAAATAATATGGCTGCGAAGGCGAGCCGCGACCGACGGAAGATGCGAGAGCTGAAGCTCACGCTGCAGACCTCCTTCTTGAAGAAGAAAGTGGCGGAGCTAAAGGCATGTTTGGCAACCGGACTGTGCCGCCACTGCCAGCAGCGGTGCGCCTGCTAACTGCTGACAGCTGACAGTATGGAGTGACTTCACAAGTGTGTGCAATTTATTAGACTAAGTTTAGAGGTATATACATTTTTGTGCCAGTGATTGACAATAAGGCGTTAAATAGATATTAGTGTGTAAATAGTGGTAATTATAAAAGAGTACAAGTTGAAACCAAAAGTATAGGAGGTACCTGAGTGAATCTAGTTGTTTCTAGTAAACAAGATTGTTTTGTGGAAGACAATAATGTCTGTGATAATAATGTAGTTTGGTTGTAGAAAATAATTATATGATTTTAAAAATAAAAACATTCATTATATCAAATAATTGTTTCTTTGGCCCAAATCTTCTTTACTTACCTACCTTCATTTAGGTATACACATTGCACTAAATTACTTTGTATCATAATTACACACATACATACGTTGGTACTTTACCTAGATTGCATAATACATTCTCCATGCCCATTGGTCGGTACCGAGCTTGTGTTGACACACTGCGCGTGCGCTTGCCGCGCCCACTCGTGTTTTACAACAATGGTACTTACGCTATAAGTTGGTACATTTTATAGATTTTTTACATGCAATGGAGCCTACGTTATAGTAGTATATTGATATGAAATATTAAAGTGTCCAACCAAATAATTTAAAGTCGTACATTTATGTCACCTATCTAGGGAATCTAATGGCATAACGAAATGACTTTGTTTGACTACACGGTTCGCGCGGTGGCTGGACAACCGGCTGCCGCACTACGTGTAGGGGGTTCGATTACCGCACGGAGCAATTCTTTGTGTGATCCAGAAACTGCTGTACTTTTGAACTCACCCACGACACAGGAGAAGTTATTGTGGGAAAATTTTAGCCGGCTAATCTTAAGTTTATGTTCCTGCTCACCTTTAGCCGTAACACATATAAATGAATCACTGATATTGTTGCATGAATCAATGGATCAATATTCAACACTCCGCGTGCCCCACCGCCGACACACGCAAGGGGTTATGTATTGCGCTGGTTAGGGGAGCACCCTCACTCAATTACTGCAGCACCCCATGCAACATGACAGTACAATATATCTGCGATACAATATGAAGAAATATACTTTATTTGGATCTTAAGGTTCGGTAGGTAATACGATGCATATGCGTAACCATAGTAGGTTACTATTTACTACCCGAGGTCACTCGTCAATAAATTATTTCGCTGTATAAGTACCTACTCCGTACGTAGCCATAATAAAGATAGCAATGCAGCCAGATAAATAAGTAGATACATAAGTAGATATGGTATAATATTACGCTATTGGTTGCACAACTTATACAGCTGTATTACACCGCGCGGACCGGGAGGTGTCATGGCGGCTTGCACAATGCGCGCGGGACGCGAGGCGCGGGATTGGTCCGATCTTACGAGTTTTATTGCCTTTTGTAGGCAGTCGATCTTTTTTTATAGCAGTCGGACTTACTTATTTACTCATCCCATAGTTATATACTTATGATTGGTATCCATAAAATAAATCAATTCGACATCGACAAAAGAACAAAATATTTTTTTGAAAGAGTAACATGGAGCTTCTTTCTCGTTCCTCTCCATTTGAAACTACACTTTGGATCGAGTGTCTAGCTTCACTGACAGACAGACGGACGGACAATTCAATTTTTGACGTTTCAATAGTGCCTAATTATTTACCTACTAGAAATAAATGCTTTAACTTTGAGTTTAAAGGCATATGATAATTAATTTTTTAAAAAATAAATCCTTCGTTCGGTTCAGTGTTCGGTTTTTATAAGTTCGGTGTTTATAATACCTACTTTAAATTAATTTATATCATTTTAAGTTTTTTAGCTACACATATTTTTTTATAAATATAAATATAATTTTTCTCTCTGTCTCGTTGACCTAGTGGCCGCAAGTGCGAATGCCGGGCAAGGGGTCTTGGGTTCGATTCCCGGGTCGGGCAAAGTATTACAGGGTTGTTTCAAAAAAAATCTCAGCAGTAGCACGGAGTCTGGAATTGTGCCCGGTATAATGGCAATAGGCTCACCCTCTATTACATAGGAGTCATAACATACCTACATAGTGAAAAGTAGGTGTAACTTACATTGTACAGTGGCATAATTTGCACCCCTGTCTACCCCTTTGGGGATATAAGGCTTGATGTTATGTGATGTTATATAAATAGGTAAGTACCTATAATTTTACTTTATTTTTTTTACTTAAAGAAAAATAATCTACATGCATATAAGGTCAAGTGTTGGTGTTTGTCTGAGCTCGCAAATTTTGGCTCGAATTTAATAATTATTTTTGGGTTGCATAATGGACGATGATTTACGGAGGAAGGCTATATAGGCTATAAAACATTACATTACGACCAACAGGACCCGAGTAGCGAGAGAAAACGTGTGAGGGTGGCGCTTGCCTGTTTAAAAATAAAAATCTGTAGCCATCGGAATAATTTCAACAAGAGATGGTCTTTTCTACAGCTGGGCTCTGCCACGGTACAGTTAGATAATAATTATCGACGGTACCAGAACAAGTCCACAACACAATAGCAATAATTCCTCGTCCCTGCATTGTGTCCTCGCTCAGTTCACAAGCGGCGCACCGTCAATTGTTTTACACCTCGAGTTAATCCTTTACGAATGTTTATTGCTATAAGCTCCTTAACGAGTTCCTTAACATTAAACTTTTTTGCTTTTAAAAAAAACTTCGTCTTTTATTTCCTACTATGTATAGAGAGAATAGTGCCTTCACTTCAGGGTTGGTAAAACTGATACTTGCATAAGTGCACCCATACAGTGAGGTGGTATACATTATATTATTGTTTGACACATTTCCGTGTGATCCCAAGCAACGGTACCTCACACGTTGCAGCCCGCGAGCGGCGCCGGGCGGCGTGCCGTGTCAGCTGCACGCATTGCTATAATAATACATTACATCGGCGAGTAAATCAATACATCAGCCCAACTGTGGTCACATCTTTACAACCATGTCACTGCGAGTTTCAGCCTTATACTTATTACTGTAAAGTTTTTTTTAGTTTGTCTTTAGTTAATGGTTTAATAATGGTTCGCTTAAAGTTGTCACCGTGCTGTCAATTATTGCGACACCCCATGCGAAGGGTTGCCGCGCCGTCTATGTATGACTTAATGTTTGGGATAGGGGCGATTTACTTTACCGTTATCACTCTATATATATATTTAATTTGTATATCGATATTATATAGGTATGTGATGGCACGACGTTTAGCCACTGTCTCGCCTGCTGGTCAGCGATGACGCGGCCTACGATGGAGCACGTCGTCCCATAAGCAACCTATTCACTCGGGCCTTGCAGACAACCAGGTTATTATTAACTAAAAAAAGTTTATCTTTGTGGTATTTTCTTCATCACTTAACAGTTCACAATAATAATTCTAGAGTCACTACGTTATCGTTCTTAGGCCTGTGAATGTATACTTACTTAGGTATATCCTGTAGCATCGATAAATATGATAAGGAGGTGTGTAAGCTACGGCTAAAACATATTTATTTGCTTTATTCTCAGCAGTAGTGCTAGCTCGATGTATCTAATTCTGTATCTCTGCCATTAATTCGCAACGGCATTGTGGCTGGGTACAGTATACCGGAAACTCAACTAATGACACACAACTGCACAACTCCCGCTGTACAGCTACCGACGCATCGATCGATCACGTTGTCCAGCGGTGGGCGACGTGCGCAGGCGACACATTGTGCTACAGATTGATGAACCTACATCCGGGACTACTGCTGGGACTGTTCACTGGCCGCCTGTATTCAGCCTGTATCCGTGGCTCACCACACACAGACATATGTTACGCTTGCACTAGCTATAGAGGGAAATAATATCGGATAGTGATAACTATGGAATACCGTTATAATGTTCAGTAGGTACTTACTTTAATTATTGACAAGTTCAAGTGACATAGGTCCCTCTAAATGTAGACATGATTGATGATATGAAGATAAAACTACATAATATTAGGGAAATATTACCTTTATTAAGAGCCTATTGCTTAAAACTGAGTTATTACTCAGTTTAAAAAAAATACCTTCGTAAGCACAACAAAAGCCCTCTTTATAAAATCAATTATTTGTTCCGGATAAACAATTAGCAAAGATGTGCTTATTATCAAATGATTTGCATTACTTATGTGTACCATAGTGTGTGTGCACAATAGTTGTTTACGCTAGATGTGGGATTATTGCCAGTTCGCGGTAATTGGCACAAAGTTCAACACATTTGCGCACAGAACAAAGCGTGAAGTGACAAACAAAATCATTAACAAACAAATATATTAAACGATCATTAATCAATAACATATTCATTCTTTTGCAGATTTATGATAATAGCGTCTTTGACAAAAATACTTATTCCTTTATTAATTTTAATAACATGAAGGTTAAATACTTTAGGGTCAGCAGCTACCAAGCTACATAGACATCCATTATTGGTACAAAGTCTAGTCACTATCTACCGATATTTCGGCATGAGAACTTGCAGTTAAGATGTTTCTTGGATACTATATAATACAAAGTAAAAAAAGTTCGAAATATTTCAATTACCGAGGGACGGACAGTCCGGCCTGTTATATCAATAACAATATACATTGAAATCATTTCCGCGGCATCTCAGTACGCCACTCATGCGCATGTCCACGACACACGGCGCATTGGAGCCGGCCAGGCGACACTAATGTCGCAACTGTCGTCCGGCAGTCGCATTGTGTATGTAACTCTTTACTGCGATTATGATGTCACGGTGGTCCGGTGAATAGGATCTGTCGCTTTCATTACACAATGCCACTTTTTACACCAAATATTAAGTATTGCAAAATGTTTGAGACTATGAAGCTGGAGTAACTGTAGGTACATCCCGTTTGGGTTTGAATTATATAAGATAAAAAAAATTTCCGAATATGATGTCAATAGTAGACTTATGAAAGTAACTAGCTAAAAAGCTTTACTTTAGATTTTATTGATATCTAAATAAATGTCGCGATGATCATTACAATTATCAGAATACTAGTTGTTACCAGCGACTTCGTCTACGTAAAATAATGACTTCTGGTAGAAATTGGGTTTTTTTAATTAGTCTTTGCCAAGGTATATTCTACGGCTGTATCCATTCATTACTTAGGTTATATTTATTGCGAAATGAGTTTATTTTCGTTGTTTCAAAAAATAAACAATTCCACAGGGGTTTTACCCGTACGGTGCTCGTCTCGTAAGGTTTCAATGATAAAAACTATTCTGTTTGCAAATCAATGCTGTACCGAATTTAAATCAAATAAATATAGTGATTTAAAAATATAGAGAGTGCCGCGATTTTAACCCATAGTTTCAAACTTTTAGATTTCCTTTCCCAGGTCTCAACCTTCGCTGTAAATAGGTTCAATGGTTTAAAAGGAGAGAGTCCCCCTTTTTTCATCGTCCTCGGTCCCGGCATTTTAACGCATAGTTCGCGTTCTCCTGGGATTTCCTCCAGGAAATGGATCCCTCCTGGATATTACTCCGGTACTAATAATGTGGCCTGATGTGTACCGGTGCGACGTTTGTATTGCAAATATTTATATGAAAAAATAGTTATTGTGGCATTAGGTTGGTCACAGTATGATATGTGAACTTTTATGTTGATGTTCTCTCTCTGGCTCTATAGTCCATCATGTCCACAGCGTAAGCAATACCAATAATATATGAAGTTATTTTTGTAGTTCTCATATCGGGTTGCGCTGCTACGCGCGCTACGACAGCACGTAGCCCACGTGCTACGAAATGCGCTACGAGCTACGGCTGTAGTGTTTCGCAGCAAGTTAGCGTAAAGTTAGGGCTATAAACCTATGCATGTAGGGTTAGATACTATTCACTGTACTCAGTCCACGGCTACACAAAAAACCGATGTGAGACAACGCTTGCGTTGTGTTTCGTCGTGTGAGTGAGGCTACCAAAGGCCCAATTACCCTCCCTCTCCTTCTCCAAAAATCCTCGATCTGGTGTTCCAGGTGTCCATGGGCGGCGACGATTGTTTACCATCAGATGATCCGCCTGCTCATTTACCGGCTTATGCCATAAAAGATCTTCCTGAGAGGACCTAATGTAAGACCAGTAATAACATCGCGTGTTATTATATCGTATAGGAACAGGTAACAATAACTTATTCGTTAGACGTAACTGTTTCTAAAGTACCAAAGAACGTACAGCTTTGTGTGGACAATACACTAGAATATTATTACACAATACAATAAAATATTATTGTGTTAGACAACATTAACTAAACAAAAGACGTGGTAATTGAAGCTGCCGGCCGGTGGCCAGTGAGGTATTGTGTGCTTCATTGCTGATCAGTAAGTAGTGCAGTAAACAAAGACGTTGTGACGTCACACAAATGACAGGCTGCGTGTAATATTGTAAAACAGTGCGGCCGCATGTCTGTGTCGGCGGCACGAGCTTTGTGGAGGCTGTCAGTGTGTGGGTAGCTAATTGAAGCTGCGGTTGTCCGTCACGTGGTGGTTTCTGGCGACACACAATAATGCACTCTATGTATCTTGTATAAATAACACATGTTGACTTGACTACATAGTAACTTATTCGAGTTTGATTAGATACATTATCGAGATTGCCACTGACAATCTATCTTTTCCCAAACCAATCAGAATAGATATATCATTTTGGAAATGTTGTCAATCTTTATGAATGTACCTATTAATGTCATTACCTAACGCTGTACTTACTTTGTTCGCTTACACCTAATATAAATTATTTAATATGATTAAGTAGATAATTACCTGTAGGTACAATAGTTGTTTACGCTAGATTCGGGATTATTAGGTAATTGGTACAAAGTTAAACACATTCCCGCAGAGAACAAAACATGAAGTGACAAACAAAGTCATTAACAAACAAATATATGAAACGTCGTTATTGATTAATGATATACCTACTTATTGATTATTTTATATAAATAAAGATAATGATGTCACAAGTTTAGCAGGTACCCAAATACAATAAGTATTGTAAATCTAAAGTTCAAAAACATTTTATAATGTGAGATATCTCGATTGAATCGAAATAAGATTGATAATATAATTAGTGTCCTAGGTACCTAGGGAATGCGACCTTGATCTTGCCAGACCGCGTTCATTTTTAGCGAGATTAATCTCGGTATAACAGCCGAGATTAACGAGATTTGCTTTAGTACTTAAATAATATTTCTTTGATAGTAGAAGAGAAGACTGGTTGCCTCTTTCATTTGTTATTTGATAATGACATCAAACAAGAAGTAGTAAACGACTTAAAATTCATTAAAAACAAATTACGCGTTTTAGGCCTAGGCAATTTTTTTGCTCCAATTTCTGACAAAAGTTTCCTGATTTATCATAATTTTATGATTTCTTAAATAAACACGTACAAAACTGCGAACCACACGAGACCTGGCTTGAGCTCCAATCTCGCGAAATTTGCATTCCTATTACCTATAGTAAAATGGAACTGTTAGTGATAATGTAATACGGTAGCGTGGTATTAGTACGACAGCTACAGAACCAGACACCGATGTGTAGCCTACATAGTACTTTCAGGGTGTAAACCCAGTATAAACCGACCGTTCCATGTGCGAACAGATCATACAAAGCGAGACCACAATTAACTGGTCCTTGAAAAAGATGACGTGCAGGGCTGATGGCTGACAGGTCGTGACTACTGGCCTTAGCGTATTATAAATCATCATCCTACTACCTACATTTCAGGAAGAACTTTATTTAGAGTTCAAGCAGGGTTCAGTAACTCATAAGATCATAACACACTCAACAAGCGCGGCTCCGGCGCAGCGTTTATTGCTTAGAAAACAATACAAAAAGCTGTAAACGCGCTGTCGGCGCGCGAGCGGCGCGCTGACAGCTTTGTTATATTGATGTTATGAAATTATATCATAATACGATTTAAAGTTCTTTAAATGACAAGTAAATGACAAATGACAAGTTTAGGCTGTAGGTATTTACTCGCTTCACCCTGCTTCTCTGCAGCCCCGGCTGGATTATTATTTATTTATTCATAAATACACGCATAACTTTACAGCGTAAGCCAAAACATTAGAAAGCTAAAATTAGGTATGTAATAAGGATATTTAATCTTAATAAAAAAGTACAATAACTATATACTTATAATTAAAACTAATTACCTACTTAATTCTCACAAAATCTTAAACATTCACGATACACATCTTTTCATTTCGCTGCAAATAAATCACACGTTGGTGCACGGACAATCACGATGTCGGGACAGCCAATGGGCGGCGCTATAAGCTGACGTTTGCGCTCCCCGCCACCCCGCCCTTCGAGTATACAAGAGTGGCCAGCGGCCACCTCGGGAACGGCATTCCTTAGTCACCTTTGCCCGTGCAATCATGTCTATCTGGAGACCATTTAGTTTAGAAGAAGTCAACACTGTCGAGGACGATGAGACGACTCAGACCACAGAGATAGTGGAACCTCTATCGTCGGATTTGAGTGTGTTACGCGTGCCACAATCTGTAGCTGTGCCTGTGTCGGCGGCACAACCGACGCTGTCAACGTACCCGGTATACCCGACAGAGCCAGGGTACCTGCCGCTGCCTCTACGCTATGGAGATGTTCAAGTTTCCTCAGGTGGTAGTTCAGGCTACCATTCCTTGAGTACGCCGTCATCGTCACCCCCGCCTGGCCCACCCGCCGCCGTTTCAGCACCGGTGTTAACTGCAGAGCTGGATCCAGATTATCAGCGTTACGTTGAGGCTGCCATGGCTGCCATAAGAGCTCACCAAGGTGGCACTTTAGTCGGAAATAATCCGAACATGCGTCGCGCTGTGCGGTCGCAAGCGCACGCCGGCACCGCGGCGGAAGCCGACGCCTACCGACGCACGCGCGAGAAGAACAACGCGGCGGCGAAGAAAAGCCGCGACCGGCGGAAGCTGCGCGAGGTAGAACTGTCGGTGGAGCTGTCGTACCTGAAGCAGCAGCTGGCGGCGCTCAAGGCGACGCTGCGCTCCCGCGCCTGCACACGCTGCCGCCGCTCCTGTCTGTGCTAGTGCGGACCACCAGCACACACATACACACACACACATACACACAGCTGTGATACTGAATGTTCCTGAACGATGTATAAATATTACGTAGCATGACTGATTCAAGTGAAGCCATGAAATGGTTATAAGCTTTTAATATTATCGACGTGCAATTTTTTATTGTGTAATATTATCTTTTAGATAGGCATTTAAAATCAAAACACATTTTTGTAAATATTGTAATATATACACAAGATTGAATAAAAGCATGAAAAGCATCTTTAATATGACTGTCTTTATATTTTCACATCAATTTCATAACCTTTTTTTATTTTTTGAGAGGTAAGATCATCCAATGACCTTTCTCGCCCGGGTGAGGCGAGAGGGAGTGTCAGACTCTTTCACTGACTAAATACCACCCCATTCCTACTCCTTCTCTTTGAGCCGGAGCCGCGGCAACCCGTTAAGTCGTCCACTGCTCCGTATCAGCATTAGTCCTTCTGGGCCCTATCTATGGTGGTCTGGTGGCTCTTTGAGGCGCTCGCGGGAAGCGACGCGCCGTATGCTCGGGTGTGGTTTTGGTCGTCCGCAGGCCCGGTGCTTACGGTAGCCGGAGATCGTCTCGCGATCCCCGACGCCCAGGGTGTCTCTCGACGCAACGGCTGTGGCGTGAGGAGGTTCATTCCCTCACCCTCCCCGCCTCCTCCTTAGCTAGCAAGATTGCTTTGCAGAAGGAGGAGACGGCATCCCAGTCCCTCTCGCTCTGCATCATAGTCTGAACTGGAGCCGGGCGTTTCCTCCAGCCCTATCTGAAACAGGAACCTGTACAAACTTCCGTGTCCGGTAAGCATCTGCGAAACTAGGTGAAACTTCATACCCTTAGACTTAAAATACTACTACCTAAAGTACATACATACCGGTAAAAAGCATAACCCTCTTTTTGGCTTTGCCGTAGTCGGGTAATTATTACGTAGGCACATGACAAGTATTTAGGTATCTCCTAATTAAACATAATTCTGATATCAGTCGTAACTATTCTTTTGTTGTATATGCGCATCTGTGATGCGTATATTAAGTAACTATTACTTAAAGCTCTAAGTTAAACTATGAGTCCTTGTAATTTGATCCTGGCCGACAACAGACATGTTTAAGAGGTTTTTTATTGTCTGGACCAGGCCAGACCTGCATATAACGAAAAATTAAAGTGAGGACTTTTCCGATATATCGCCAGTATGTATGTATTTGAGATGGGTGTTCCGCAGGGATCTCCCAGATTCTTGGCTCGTTTTAATTTTGTTTAAATATGTGATGGGCCGACGTTTGACCACTATCTTGCCTGGTGGTAAGCGATGATGCAGTCTACTAACGCACTTTATATTAAAGTTAATACACATAAAACTTTAGGTAATCAAACTTGTAAAGTAGGACAGATTACCTATATTAAAGTTTTAATTTTGCAAATAAGGTTTGGTTGCATTATTTATTTATTTATAGCACAATATACTTAATTAAATTTAAGTGTGGAAGAGCCATGATTCCGCACGAATAGGCCGGCTCGAGTAATTCTAAGGGGACCACAGAAAACCGACGTGAAACAACGTTTGCGTTGTGTTTCGTCGTGTGAGTGAGGTTATCGGAGGGCCAATTACCCCTGAATCCTCTACAATCCTCAAATTCCCAATTCCCAAATGGCCTGTAACGCATTTGTAACGCTTGATGTTTCGGGTGTCCATGGGCGGCGCCGATTGGTTACCATCAGGTGATCCGTCTGCTCGTTCACCGGCTTATGGTATGAAAAAATGTACATACCTATAATAAGAAGTATACATACAACTAATTCAGTACATTACCCTGTTAAGGCGCAGCAATTTAATTCATAACTAGATAATTTAATATAATCGTACAATAACATGTTATATTTACTAACATTATGACTGTTTTAAACTTATTAAATTCTTAGATGTATTATAATATTCACTTTTATGCAGTTACACAAAAAGTCATTCACAGTAAAACGATACAAAATTTAAAGTTTTTTTTTTTTATTTTAGTTCATAGTTATTTATATTTTAAGTTGTATATATTTTCATTTAGTTAGAGTTTTGAATATTTTGTAACTAAATTTAAAGTTAGCTGAAATTGATTACTACTTCTTATAGCTATAACTATACCTATATATTAACTATTCTTTAGTTTAACTACTCCATTAAAATTGAAAAGTAATGTAATCAATAAAAAGTCGTGGTGTCCCGGAGGTTTAATAGGCCCGCTTCTCATGCATGAGGGTGCGGTTTCGAAACCTACCAACGGCAAGCACCAATGTGACTTTTTCCGAGCTATAAGTAACTTTCTAAGATTATCTAGACACCACTGACAAACGGTGAAGGAAAACATCGTGAGGAAACCTGGGATTATAATTTCTAATTATAAGCCTGTAATCGCCAACCCGCATTGAGCAAGTGTGGTGATTAATAATCAAACCTTCTCCGTGTGAGAAGACGCTTTGCTCAGCAGTGGGCATTTATGGGGACTGTTTATGAATCAATAAAATTCTTGGACGTAGTAAAATAATAAAACTAAACTGAAAAGTGAGTGAAAACATAATAAAATTAAACTGAAAAACATAGGAACATATGTACCTATCACATTCACCTGAGCTACAATAAAATGCACTATATAATAAATAGAAAATTATTACAAGCTAAGGATAATTACACAACAAGTAAAATCTTAAATTACAATCGAGGTACCATTTTATTACTATAGTTACAATTCTTATCCTCGAGGTACTCTTGAATACTATAATAAGATGTGTTAATAAAAACTTCAATCTAGTCTAAAATATACAGAGAGTTTTGGTTGACCTTATTTCTTCAGGAAGGTGACTTGTTATAGATTCGTTATTCTGGGCTCTTTTTATATCTATTTTTTATTTTTATACTGAACAAGGAATTAATAGTGGGTGTAATTACTGCATGGTCGTTAGATAGTTGTGTGGTGTTGTTTTGCATATTTGGTGACCCTACTTAAGCAAAACAACAACACACAACTATCTAACGACCACGCAGTAATCACACCTACTGTTAATTCTAGGAACAAAGAATTAACAGTAGGTGTGATTACTGCGTGGTCGTTAGATAGTTGTGTGGTGTTGTTTTGCATATTTGGTGACCCTACTTAAGCAAAACAACAACACACAACTATCTAACGACCACGCAGTAATCACACCTACTGTTAATTCTAGGAACAAAGAATTAACAGTAGGTGTGATTACTGCGTGGTCGTTAGATAGTTGTGTGGTGTTGTTTTGCACATTTGGTGAGCCTACTGAAGCGAAGAATTGATTAAACCTGTTTGCGAGAGTGTAGGGACAGTCTGTTAAATATATATTATTGTTTTTATATTTTATATTTATATACTAGCTGTGCCCGCGACTTCGTCCGCGTGGAATTTAACAAAAAAATTAATTCGTTTATTTTTTATTTTAGTTATCATTTATTTTCAGTTTTTTGTATTAGCTTTATTGAAAAATTTCTTTATATACAATATTTGGTGTACGATTTTCTTGGGCTAAAACAACAACGCTACTGGCATTCCTCGCACGTGAACATGCCACGTATAGTTGCCCATGGGTAAAGCAACCTTTTGTTAAATCTATACCAGCTTTACTTAACGTTTGTCCTTGGGACTTGTTGATTGTCATAGCAAAACTGACATTGATCGGGAATTGCAATCTTTTGAATTCAAATGGCAAATTTGATGGTATTATAGGAATCCGTGGTATAAATACTATTTCACCTCTGCCGCATCCGGATATTATACGACCTTCTATAACGTTTCTTTGCAACGACACTACTCGCAACCTAGTACCATTGCAAAGTTTCGGCGGATTTAAATTACGCAATAGCATGATGGGCACGCCAACTTTAAGTTCTAGTTTGTGGGAGGGTAGACCAGGCACAATTATACTGTTTAAAAATTCTGTTGGGTAATTAACCACTTCATCCGGATTGCAAACTGTATTGATGGAAAGATATGTTTGTGATTCACCTGTTAGCTTATCTAAAATGCACTGATTAAGCGCAGTAACCTGGTCGTTCGTAGGCGCTAAAATTGATCTGTCACACAACCACGAATCTTCTTTGATATTGAGATTGTGAATATCATCATAAATACTATATATTAAAGTTTCAGTGTCCGCCACAACCTGACAAAGACTGGTAGGTAGTTCTATATCATGATTACTATTCACTTCTGGACACTTTCCCTCTCCAACATCAAGAAGAATTGTACTAAATTCTGAATCAGCTGAATGTGCTCTCATATTTTGTTTTAAATTAAGTTTTTTACACTGTCTCCAAAGTACTGAACGTTTTAAACAGGCGTTAATTTCATCGGCTCGCGTACCCTTACTTATAACCGGTAATATTTGTCTAAAATCTCCAGCGAATAAGAATACGACTCCTCCAAATAATAGATTATTACTTCTAATATCCTGCATCGTCCTATTCACGGCTTCTATAGAAATTTTGTTTGCCATAGTGCATTCGTCCCATACTACAAATACACAATCTTGTAGTACTTTGGCTTTGAGACTATTTTTGGGTATATTGCAGACTGGATTTTCCGTACGGTCTAAATCTAGTGGGATTTTAAACATAGAATGTGCCGTTTTTCCGCCAGGAAGTAAGGTTGCCGCTATGCCGGACGATGCGACTGCTATGGCAATCTTCTTTTCTGCACGTATTTTGGCTAGCAAAAGATTAATCAAAAATGTTTTGCCGGTACCACCTGGAGCGTCTAAAAAATACACTCCACCAGCATTTGCATTTATTTTATCAATGAGGAGTCGGTAAATTTGATTTTGTTCATCGTTTAGTCGTGGTTCATTATGATTTATAGTATTTTGAAGTTCAACTGGGTCAAAATTTGTATGTTCAATATATTCTTTGTTTAAATTTTCATCAATTCCATCAGTCGCTTGTGGAGATGGTAAACCATAATGAGGGAGAGAATTGCCGCCTATCGAAAGAAGAATGTCTTGTAATGCAAACAAAGCTCTATTTGTAAATACGTCTAAATGAGAATTTATGTCTGCATTCGGGTAATGCCGTTGGAAATCTCTTACATAATCATCTGTAAAATGATCCTTGAACTTGTCCCATAACTCTGTGGGATTAGAGATATTGCAGAAAACTAAAATAATGGCGAATAGTTCTCGTAATTTAGATGCGTTGCTGCTTATACTGGCATCTGTTAAAGTGTCGAACCAATGATTATCGCCTTCTAGTAAGCCAAGAGCAAGACATGCCGCTTGATATGTAGGATGTAAAATTCCATTCACCCATTTGAGACTTTCAAAAGAAGTTGGTCCTTTGACAAATGTTAATAACAACCTCAGATAATAACATTCCCGATTATTGGGGTGAATTGTATAGATTCTCCCAAGTGTATGCTCATAAAATATGCCGGGATGACCTTCCACAGGAGTACCTCGACGTCGCCGTTGAAATGTTCCATTTTGTTTATTAAATGTATAATAACCTGGTATTTCTTCGTACAATAAAGAAGCTGCGAATTCGTCGTTATTACATAGATCGAAAAATGCCATCAATGTCGTGTTTCTCGGATTTTCTATTACTCTATGGGCATTGCATTAGCCCGCTCGCGCGTTCTGAGCCCGCGCGATAGGCAGCCTTTGTGATAATGTTTCGTTGGTGGGAGAAGTGGTGGGGAGCCCGCGCGACAGGCAGCCTTTGTGATAATGATTC